ATGAGGGCAAAGAGACCATGGCTACCAAGAAGTGGCAGAAAGAGTTTGGTGCTAGGACTGCCACAACTTTGCGACTGACGGATACATGGCTTGGCTCAGGAAGAATCGTGTGTGGCGATTCCTGGTTTGCGTCCGTGAAGACAGCGGTCACTCTTATGAAGCACGGGCTCTTCTTTGCGGCTGTTGTCAAGACGGCGCACACGGCCTTCCCGTTCAAGGCCCTTTCCGCGATGTGGCCTTCTTCGAAAGGCCGCTTCGTATCCGCAACCGCACAGAAGGACAGCATAGCACTGAATGCCGTGGCATGGCGCGACAGGAAGGTGTATTCCTTTTTCAGCACATGCGGGACAACTCTTGCCGGAGATCCCGCCAAGAAAAAGCGGTACGACGACAACTTGAAACTATATTTCATGACAGTCGAGCGAACAAAGTTGGTGGCAATGTACCACGATGGGTCTATGCAAGCTATCATTAATAGCAAGAGTACATACCCCCCCCCCCCCCCCCCAGAGTGTGCAACTCGACTATGAGTGGCGTCCCGACAGATTTTCAAGTTGACGTCATTTTTATGATGTATTGCACTGCACACGGATTATCAAACGAATCCGGAACCTGTGGTGGACCAAAGCCCATCTGATCCTGTACAAATGATTGCAAAGAACAACATGTGATGAGTCGACACCTGTACACATGTTGTAAACCACTGGTGCAAGGAGCATTGCATCATAAAATATTGACGTCAACTTGAAATTCTGTCGGGACAGCAGGGTATGTGGGAGTTGCACACTCTTGGCGGTTACAGTATGTACTCTTGTTAATAGGTCTCTCTTACTTCATTCAGGATCCACTGCTACAAACACTTACCTCCTTCAGCTCAGCTCTCTTTGACTCCAAAATAGCCAGTGTGGCTGCAAGTGTCGACTGCGCCTCCTTCAGCTTCAGCTTCTTTGGAGCGACAACCTGAGATACGAACATAGAATCAGACAATACATACGTTAGATAAATGCAAGGCAAAACAGTGACTTAGAAACCGACTGAACGACCGGGTTTACTGATTGTTTTGCTTTGTTTCTTCAAAATGAAAGATTTACCCTCCCCCCCTCCCTTTCGAAGGTAGATGTACCTTGTAAATCGCTCTATTCAGTTGCTATTCACAATCGCCGCATGGACTGGATGAAAAATGCTTTACTGTGATGTCGAAAAAATTACGACGTTTCGGGCCAGTCACCCATCGTCAGGTTCAGGTTCAGGTTCTGACGATGGGTGACTGGCCCGAAATGTCATGTTCACGTGCACACTGTAAAAATGAACCAGCAGTGCTCGCGGCTGCAAGACCAGTGCCCCGTGGCTGCTTGACTTATCAACGGATTTCAACGTCCGCTACTGTACTTCCAACGATAATGGCTTATGGTCATAATGGACATTGTCGCCATGATGTACATCCAGCGTATAGGTTGCTCATGTTCTCGCTTACCTTTGCCACACGGTCGTAAATCTCCATAGCACGACACCACTTGCATAGACCTTCCGCGGCTGACGACGAGTTACGCACCTTGACAGGGTCGAACTCGGGATTGGGAATGAACTCCTTGCGGATCTTGGCCATGATGTGGACAGCTATGTTGTCTTTGTCAAACTCACGCAGCGAATTCAGGAAAGACATATCACTAAGCATCTTCTTCGATGGCCCCCAGTAGTCTAGAATCTGACATTAGAACAGAACAATCGAAGTCATGTAGATACAATAAGGATTTGCCGACCAGCATTGGAGCATGATTTTAGGTCCAATTAATAGAGATTGTGGACGTATCTCGTCACTTGGAGGTGTTCCATATAGAGTGTCATAACAAGCACAGGAAAACATGCACGACCGTATCACTCACACAATCTCTACTTTAACAAATGAGAACGTTTATCCTTGACAGGCGGGTAGCCCATGCGGGACGCACGGGGCATGTGTATAGTTGGGCCAAATGGCCTAGGGATCGCAGTTCAGTGCTTGCTGTGAAGCCAGAATCAAAGGCCAGGGCGCACAGACCCCTTGTACATAGGTAGCTGTATACATGTACCTGTATACCTGAACACTGCAATTTCAAATATAAATCTACTGCTCGAATTCCTTCAAGAGTATGTTAACAGTGTACTCCGCTAAAATTTGAACCAGCTACGCCACAGCTTGGTGAGTCCGATACTCCTAAAAGCTGTGTATTGATGAATGATGATCACAGACAACTGTGCAGTACCTTTTGACCAGTGCCACCTGGGTCATTGATCTTCTCCGGCTTGATGTCCTTCATGACGCATATAGCGGCCATTACAAGCTTCACGCCAGCTGGCGGGCTCTTCAGGTTTTTCACAATGGTGATGTCAGCGGGCTACGCATTCAGTTGAGCAGTACGCATGTACGGCCGCACACGCGCACGCGCACACACACACGCACGTACGGCCGCACACGCACACACACACACACACACACACACACATACACGTGCACACACACACACACACACGTGCACACACACGTGCACACACACACATACACACACATGTGCACGCGCATGCACGTGCACGTGCACACACACACACACACACACACACACACACACACAATACAATAGCGCAGGCACAAATGCAAGCATGTGCGGAGATTACCAAGGACAACCGCAATGGCTGATTCCAAGCCACTTGGGAACATCTAATCACGAGTATTCAGCTGTAACATATTTATTCTACACACTGCAAATCATCACCAATCGTTGAGGACATTATATGCGGTGCACGCTGTATATAAGGATTGCGTTTTCAAATAAGCCAACTTTCTCCTTACACTCCTCTCTTGTTTTCAACCCTATTCACAGGTACATGGTAGGGCACTCAGTTTAATAACAAAATTTAATATTACTGGGTTATTGCACTTTCTGACTGTATGACTGTATATAGTATCCAGTTACAGTGATGGAGAGTTACTCTTAACTCGTATCCTTATGTCCTTTTCCTTTC